GGATCAAATGCTTCTGTGTGAAGAGCTCTCCCAGGATCTATTTCTTCCTGTCAGACCACTGGCCTCATTGTGTAAAGGTTCATTCACTGGTGTGAGTCAATGTCAGTCACCCCCTTGGCCAGGAAGCTTTATGAAAGGGGGGTGCTTATCTGTGTTTGGGGGCAAACGCTGGTGCCTCCAAGCCATAGCCAGCATGGTGCTAGCCACAAGGGCACCCAAACCAATATTTGTGGAATAGAGGAAAGAATTACTTAAGACTGGTTCCTCAGTGATCTCATCCACAGCCATGGCTACAACCACCATCTAGAGGCTGACCACACTCAGATGCCTATGCCCAGACTGGTTCTCTTCCCAAGAGTCACACATCCAACAACTTACTCAGATTTTCCATGTGAAAATGTTAAAGCACCTCAATTGGATTCACTGGTCCAAAGCTGAATGTGTGAACTCCCCACTTCCCTGTTTCTCCGACAGTGCTCTTCATCTTAGGGAATGCAGCTCTGACCACCTGAGCCAGGCTGTCGTTCTCCTCACCTCCCTCTTCCTGATTCCAGTGCCTCCCATCCATCACCAAACCCTTCCACTTCCATCGCCTACACTGTCTGGATTGCGATCACTTTTCTCCATAGAGCAAATTAGTTATGAGTGCAGACTCTGCTGGAGCGTCACCTGGGTTCCAAAACAAAACCTGCCACTTCCTTGCAATTTGTTTAGCCCCTCCACATTCATTTCTTTATACATAAAGTGGAGATGGTAACATTACATACTTCACAGGATCCTTCGGAGAAGTTCATGAGATTACGTGTATGAGGTGCTTTGAAAAGTGCCAGCTGCTATCAGCACATCACCATCACTGCTTCCATCATCACCAAGACCGCTGTCAACATCGCTATGACCACCAACACTGTCCTCGCATTCCACCACTCCTGTCCCCACCGGCATCGTCGCCACCACCATAATCACCATCATCATCACCACCGTCACCCCATGGCATGATGCCCGTGACTATTCCTCATCTGGTGGCACCACCGCCACCTAACATCAGCCACGCCCATCCTTGCTCTCCTCCAGTCTGTTTTCCACTATGTAATCGGAGTGATTTTGTAAAAACACAGTCTCACGTCCCTCACATATTTAACTTATATCAGTGGTTTCCCAGAGCAAAGACCAAAACTATTAACATGGTTTAAGGAGTCAGTCTTGGGGAAATCTGAGCCTCACACCTGCCCCGTGCCTTTCTACTTTAGGACTGTCACATATAATGTCCTGTCTGCTGGTGACGGTCTCCTCTTGCCTCCTCTTCCTTCTTTCCATCACCATCAAAACTTGTGTGCAGTGTCTGTTGTCCTCACTGTCTTCACTCTCCAGCCTCCTGCACACTGGCCACTGCCCCCATCCCTCCACTGAGCCTGCCCAGCAAAGAGTCATCCATGGTACCTGTTACTGAAGGCAGTGAGCCTGGGCTTTATCTCACTGGACCTCTCTGAGCATGTGACACTGCCAGTTGCTCTTTCCTTGGAGCCCCTCTGCTTGTGGCTCCCCTGATGCTGTTCTTTTCATCTTTCTGAGATCCTCCCCCGCTTCATTTGTCACTCTTTCTCAGTCAGCCCTTTGGAAACTGATTTCTCCAGGTTGCCTTTTTCTCAACTCATCCTCTTTGCATGATCTCACCATCCTTGCATGACCCTTGCATGGTGTCCATTGCATGATGATACCTGAATCCTCAGACCTAGGTCCTTTGTCCTTCTAAGCTCTGAGCCTTGATTCCTCCATGGAGGAGTTTCAAACACTTTCCAAACACAATAAAGCTGAAATCTCAGAATGTCCTTCCTTTCTCAACTAGTGGTGCCCACACCCATTCAGTTGCTCAAGCACAAGCCTGAGTCATCCTGTCTCCTTCATTTATTTTCCTTCCTACATCCAGTTAATCATCAAATTCTATTGATTCTGCCTCCTTAGATAAACTCAGATCTGTTGAATTATCTTTGTTTTCAACTACACTCCTTTAGATCCTCATCATTTCCCTCCTGCGGGATGGCTACACTTCCTAACCCATCTCCCACTCATCAGTTTCTCTCTCTCCAGTCTTTTCTAATCTGCTGGAAGGTTTAGGGGGCAAAGAACTAGTGGTCCAACTTTAAGAGAAGGGGTTCTTTAGGAAAAGGCTTATGCTAAGACTGGAGCTGGAGCTCAGCAGTAGAGCATTTGCCTAGCATGTGCAAGGCCCTGGGCTCAACCCCAGCACCACTACCACCACAACAAAAGAAAAGTTTGAGGGAGGAAGGAACGAAGGGAGGGAGGGAAGAAGGAAAGAAAGAAAGGGGAAAGAATTAAGAGAGAGAGAGGAGAGAGAGAGATAAAAAGATCTCTGCGGTTCTGTCTTAGTCACCAGGCACATCAGTCTATTTAAGGTCCTGAGAAGTTTTGCTGCAGAATCATTTTCCAAACTCCTTTGAGTATAAAATCCACTCTCTAGGGTACATTTCTTAACATCTTGGAGAACACCATGTGCTATTTTAGAACACAAATGTGATCATCTTACTTCTCAGTTTGGAAATAAGACAGATGAAGTAAGACCAAAGAAGACCAAAAGAAGACAATTTGAACGTTATTCTCTGGGCACTTAATAATCCTTGGAGATTCCTAGGTAGGGTAAGGACCTAATCAAGATCTTCCAGTTAGGAATCGAGGTCCTACTGTGTGCTATGTTCTTCTCAGCTGTCATCTCTGATCCTTACAGCAAGGCTCCAGATGAGCCTGGTCCTCACTGGAGGAGACAGAAACCTAGATGGGGGAAGCAGTTCGGTCTGAGGTCACACAACCAGTAAGGATGCAGCAGCACTTGGCTGGAAGCCTGGGTGGTTTTTGTAAGTTGTCTATAGCAAGCAGGTGACATTAGAAGGTGACAGTCCATGGGCCGGGGATTTAGCTCAGTGGTTTTGCCGCCTGCTACACAAGCGCAAAGACCTGAGTTTGATCCCCGGTACCAAAAAAAATAAAAGAAGGTGACAGTCCATCTGCAGGAGACATCGAAAGCAGGAAACTCAAAGGTTTGGAGGTGAATTCCTTTCTTTTGTCCTTTGCCTCCATCCTGCACCTCTCCAGATGGGCTCAAGCCCTTGTAGACATTCTTCTTGAGCCTAGGTCCTACTGCCCTTCTGGTAGGCCTGGCTAATCTCACCCTTAAACACTCAACTCCAGGAAATCTCTTCCCTGATTAAAAACTATGTGTTGCTCGCCAGGGCCTGGCTGACTCCAAGTTTCTCAGCCCGATATTCTAGCCCTTCCATTATCTGCTGTCAGCTTTCCATTTTGATCTGACTTTGATCTGACTTTTTCTTTTTTTTTTTTTTTTGGAACCAGGGATCGAACTTGGGTCCTTGCGCTTGCGCAGCAGGTGGTGAAACCACTGAGCTAAATCCCCGGCCCTAGATCTGACTTTTTCTAAGTCTGTCCTTGTTTCAGTCAAACCGGAGTATGCACTGTTAAGTAGCCTCCTGGCCTTTGTCCATGCTGCTCCCTTCTCTTGGAAAGCTTGTTTCTCCTCTGTGTTGCTACTTTAATCTCACCTCTCCTTTAAGGCCCATCTTACTGCTGATGTCATGGAACAGGTCCTAAGCAGAACCAACCGATGTTCTCTGATTTTCAGCACAGAAGGGCAATAAGACGACCCCCAACCTTGGGAATCAGGTTAACTTCTGAAAAATAAGCTAGTGAGGCTCGAAGCCAGTGGCACCAGCACTTGAGGAGGACTCAAGAAGTGGACAGCTCTGGAGATGTGAAAGCCCCTAATGGAAGGAGGAGGCTGGTGCCCTCACTCCCAGGGCACACAAACGCTTTCATATCAGAAACCATATTACGAGCAAACAAGTCCCTAATCAAAGAGAAAGAGAAGGCATCAACCAAGCTCTAATCAGTGGTGGCCACTGACCAAGACAGTGAGCTCACCAGGCAGTCTGGTGTGGCAGCAGAGTGTGCCAAGCCATTCACCGTGTGTAGGGACATTGGCTTTTAGGGTAGCGGAAGGGCTGGTAGTGACGTGGCCATAGCTAATCCAGACCTGGGTAGTTTGTCTCAGACCTGGGTAGTTTGACCCAAAGTTTCCCGCTTCCTTTGTTCAAATTACAAACCCTCCAAGCAGCCTTCTCAGGATAAAATTCATTTCCCCTTCCACCATCACCTTCCCCACCCTGAGACGTTCTAGGCAGAGAGGATAGTTGTAACCTTATTGCACCATGACTCATCAGGCTCCACACAGTAATTGTTCGATAATTTGGGCAGATCTAATTTGTTTGAGTTCTTTGTATATTCTAAATATTAGTCCTCTGTCCCAGGAATAGCTGGCAAAAATTTTGCAGTAGATTAAAATCAGCCAGTTAACTGGAACTCTGCTTCTGGTGATGATTTTGTACAGATGTGGGGAAGTTGGGCTGGCGTTGTGGGATCTAGGCACTCTGATGAAGGTGGGTACCTGTATCTCAGAACAGATTCTGAGACCAAGGTGGGCTTGAGACAAGGAAGCTGTTGCCTCAGGGAAGGCCTGGTACACCTGCCTGGCCTGGGGCATCTCCAGGTCATTACCATCCTCTAAATGCACCACTGGCTCCCTCTCAGTGACCAGCACACATCTTATAACATTTTTGTTCTTTTTTTTATGCAAACACTTGCATGTGTCTCTGATAGCAGAGTTAAACTTTAAGACTTGCAGAGCCTCAAATGTTACAAATACTTAATGAGTTGGGATGAATGGGATTAAAGACCAAGTGAATGATCTGGGATTCCAATGAAGGCTCTAACGTGTCTCTCAGACTCCTAAAATGTAGGGTGTGCACCCCAGGAAGCAGGCTGGTGGGGCCGACTGAGAAACATTCCTCCCGATGCCAACTTTCCCCTGCCCAGGGGTGGCACAGATGAGCCCACTGGGCTGAAGGGAGGTTGCCATTTTTCTGCTCAGGAACGACAGAAGACACAAAGGGAGAGGACAGAGGCTGCACACTTACCTGTATCTCCGTCTGGATAGTGCATTTGACCAGTTTGAAGTTCTTCCCAGGGTTGAAGCTGTTGCTATAGAAGCAGACCTTGAGGATGCGCACGTCCCCCTTTTCCACATTGACTGGTACCACCACCATGGGCTCTGGGGGGGCCTCAGGGCGGCGTAACGTGCCCACCTTTACTCGGCTCAGGGGTTCGGACACCCCAGACATCCTCTCAGGCCTCAGCTAGGACCAGAACATCGCAGTCCTGCAGAGACAACAAGGACAGCTGTGAGGTGAGTTTCTACAGGTCCCAGAGACGGTACCCACTGAGCTTCAATGCAAATGACACATTCTTCAATTCCCGAGAATCTCCTTTAAAGGCATCCGGTTTTCTTGCCTGGGGAGGCTGCAGAGCACTGAACCAGGTTGCATAAACATCCGGGTATAAAATGCAGACTTAGAGCTCTCAGCATGCATGCTCTGTCTTCTGGACCTTCCCCGGCCCACCGCATCCTCCTGCACTGGCTCCCAAACAAGGAACCTTCAGTTGTTGGAGGAGGCAGCCGCAGCAAGGTTCTAAGACACAGCAAAGCAAAAAAGGCAAAGGATGAGACAGGAGAACATAGCAACAGAGAAAGAGGGACTGGGGGGAAGCGAAGAAAAAGCAGAGTGGAGACTAGGTAGCCCCAAGGAACTGGAAGAGAGAAGGCAAGAAAGGCCCGGGAGGGAGTCCAGGCTCTCAGGAGATGACAAGTCTGTCCCAGCCTCTGCTGCAGCCAGAGCTTTCAGGGTAGGAGGCTCGGGTTCCACGGGAGCTCAACATGCAGAGCATCTGTCACATGCTTGGGACAAGTGCCACTGCCCACCACTGCCCAGTGTGGGTGGGAGGGGGCTGGGGTGGGCCCCTAGAAGACTCAGGCCAGCTCTGATGGGAGACTGGCTTGCTGCAGATGCAGACTGCAAGAAGGCCAGGAATTTGAATTTCAGCAACACTGGTCCTGGTCTCTGGATCCATCAAGACTCACGAGGGCTTACTTCCTGTGGCTACAAAGCAGGAAGTGGCCAAAGGAAGTGATGAAAGTTCTAGCTCTGGACTGGTGGAGTCAACCAGGACTCCAGCAGGGTAACCCAGGAAACTTTCAGGGCCGCTTGTTTGTGGTGTGGCCTGGACACTGGTAAGTCATGGAGCTCCTGGGATTTTACTAATATTCAGCTGGGCTAGGGGCTGCTGCTCTAGAATGAGCTCAGCTCTTATCCTAAAACCCACCCTCACACAAAAAAGACCCCACTTCTCACAAGAGACTGCAGTTTTAGGGGGAAATTCCTAAACCAAGAGTTGGAGAGAACATGATGGAATTGGCAATGTTCAAGTACAAATATGAAATCAAATATTTGCAAAATGGGTGCACAGCCTACATCCACTTATCCATACAGTGCTAAGACACTATAAAAGAAGATGCAGACAGTAATTAGCTTTCAGGAGTAATTGCTTTTTTTTTTTTTTTTTGGTACTGGGGATCGAATTCAGATCCTTGTGCTTGGGCAGCAGGTGGTGAAACCACTGAGCTAAATCCCCAGCCCTTGGAGTCATTGTTTTTTTTAAAAAAGAAAGTAAATGTGTATTATGAGGATACAAAAGCGGTGTTGTAAGGATAGAGGGAGGAGGGGCAAGGCAGGGCAGGCATAAAAGGGGAAGAAAAGGGGACCCCAGGCTCAGACTTCACAAGGGCAAGGCAGCCATGGCTTGGGACAAATCTGATGGAGAAGATGCGCAGAGAAATCTGCATTAATGTAGAGACTAATATGAATATAAATCATACATATAATCACATATATGTGGGGAGAGAATACACTATTATTGTGGAGACACATATGTTCTAGAAGAATATCTGGGTCTCTATACCTTGATCCATCCACCCCTGAGGTATCTGCATCATTTTCATCTACTGAACATGACCTGGGAGCCAGTGCTCTATTATGTAGTAGAAAGGTAGCACAGTTTGCTTTCACCTCATTATGATAACCAGGAATCCAGGGGAAGTCATCTGAGAGGTAACCCCAGGAAACACTGCCAGGAGAGGGAGAAATGTGTGATGAGGGAGGAAGACAGAAAAAAGGGAGCTATTCATCGAGGGGTGTCTTGGAAACCCTGGTTTAGTCCTACAGGGGACATTTAAGCCCGGACAGAACACCTTCTCCTCCAGAGAGAGGGTCTGGGCTATGTATACTCTGCTTTTTGTAGTCATTGTCCCCAGCTTTCCCAGCCAGCCAGTTCTGCACAAAGGAGAACAAAGGAAGCCCTTAGGGACAGAGATGCAGAGCTGGCAGCTGGCAGCTGAGGAAGAATATGGAGGAAGTGGAGATGAGAGAAGAGCCCTTGACCCCAAAGGGCACACACGACAGTTGGGGTATGAAACTATGTACACAAAACTATAAACGACTGGGTTAGTACCACTCACACAGCTGGCTCCAGCTTCGGGTCTGGGTGTCCTTTGGGCCAGTGGACCTGTATGTACGAGCTAATGTGCAGACAGGACCTTCAGGAGGAAAACTTGTGAGGCAGGCATCTGGGGGAGGAAGGAAGTGTAGTGGAATGTGCTCTGTCCCCATAGACTGGATGCGGATGCTGCTCACAATGAACTGAATGTGTGTACACCCTAAGATCTCTATTTAAAGTCCTCATCCCCAAGGCAATGGTATTAGGAGGTGGGAATTTGGGGGAGGTAATTATGTCATGAGGGTAGAGCCCTCCTGAATGGGATCAGTGTCCTTTGATAAAGGGTCCAAGAGAGCTTTGTTGGCCTCCTTCTGCCATGTGAGGACAGAGCAAGAAGTCAGCAGTGCGTGACTGGGTGAGCCCTGCCGTGCTGGCACCCTGATCTTGGACTTCTTGCCTCCAGAACTGTGAGAAACAAATGTTCGTGCCTTGTAAGCCACATAGCTCATGTTACTTTATTATAGCACCTGAACTAAGACAGAAGTCCTGGGGCCCTACCAACAAAAGCCCAGGGCCCGGCTTCTCAAGGCCACCAAGAACCTGGGCACCAGAGATGCTGTTGTGTCAGGCTGGGGGAAGGAAGGGCATTACACCCACTTCTGCAGTTCATGCCACATGCCTCTGGAGTATCCACGGTGAAGAGGGTGGGTGCATCTGCAGCTCAGGGGCCCCACGAGGTATCCCCTCAACCCAGCCAGCATTCGTACCTGAGGGTGGTGGCTCCCTGAGCATAGGCAAGATGCCACAGCAACCCCTTGAAGTGGCCTGGGAAGCATGTAAGAGGAAACACTTAAGTGGAAAAGGGATCTGGCCAGCATGGTCCAGGTTCATAGGTCACGTGTGTGATGAGAGCAGGAAGGAAAGCCCTGGCTGACAGATGAAGGGGAGCAGAGGCAGGGCAAAGGAGTTCGAAGCCCATGCCAGGTAGAGAAGGAGAAGGAATCAGACCTTTAGATGTTTCTGAGCCTGAGCTGCTGAGCCAGCAGTGTACTGAAAGGTGCTGCTTTCAAACTCGAGGAGCCAAGAGGATGAAAACTGCAACACGAATATGGAGCAATAGGAACTTTTATTTGCTGCTGGTGGGAATGCAGGAGGGCACAGGCATTTTGGAAGACAGCCTCACAGTTCCTTACAAAAGTAAACATGGTCTTACTATATGATCTAGCAATTGCACCCTTTGGTATTTACCCAAAGGAGTTGACAGCTTGTGCCCACACAAAGACTATGGCTCTTTATAGCAGCTTTATTCATAATTGTCAAAGTGTGAAAGCAACCAAGACATCCTTCAGTAGTTGAATGGATAAGCAAATTGTGGTATATCCACATCATGAAATATTATTCAACACTGAAAAGAAATGAATTGTCGAGCCACAAAATACACAGAAGGAATTGAAACATGAATTATTAAGTAAAAGAAGCCAACCTGAAAAATATGAATACTGTGTGATTCCAACTGTATGACCTTCTGGAAAAGGTAAAAGTATGAAGGTCCTAAAAAGATCAATGGTTGCCAGGGTTGGGGAAGAGGGAGGGGGGAAAAGAGAGAGCACAGAGGTTTTTTAGGGCAATAAAGCAATTAACTCTGAGACTGTAAGGTGGATACAGGTCCTTATACATTTGTCCACACTCTTGGAAGGTCCAACCCTGAGAGCGAGCTCTTGTGTAAACCATGCACTGGACGACAATGATGGCTCAATGTGCCTTTGTCCACTGTAGTGAATGCTACGTGCTTGAGGGAGATGCTGACACACACGAACTCTCCATTGTGCTGTGAATTTAAAACTTCTCCAAAAAAGTAGTCTATTAAGAAAAAAGTGTGACCATGAGGAAGCACAACCTGAGAGTTGACTCTGTCTCCCAGCCTGACCAAGCAGGGTCCAGCCTTGGCCATGATTATACATCGACCGACAAGCATGCTGGGCATCACTGGGGATGCTGGAAGACACCCCTGTCCTCTGCTCCTTGGCTTCTCCCAGTCTGTCAGTCCTAGTGGCCCTGGGGCTGAGATAGAAATATTTTAGCGAAGTCATTTCAGTCTCCCAGCATCTGACTGTGCCTTCAGCCCCATGCAATCCCTCAGTTCTGTTTTAGTCCTTTGCAGCCACAACCTCTGCTGTGGCTATTTATTTAAAAAATTATTATTTAAAATCTGAAGAATAAACACAAATGTTCTGCACGACCCTTCGGGGAGGTGGGCAGGAATAATGAGGTCTGTTTTACAACTGGGGACCCATTTGCTCAAGGATTCATTTCTGCTAAGAAGCAACTTGATCTCAAAGCAAGCTGCAAGCCAAGTCCAGAATTCTTCCCACCTGTCCAGCTGCCTTTGAAGAAGGGGTACAGGCGCAGAAGAAGGGGTACTGGGGGTGGCTCAGACTACGTGCAAGGACCACCGTGTCCACCCAGCATTCGCTGAATGTCCCAGCCTGCAGAGAATCTCGAGCCCTTGGAAAGCATTACGCTTCCCGTGCTGGGACTTTTCCGCACGTCTTGGAAGCACTCAGGGCTGGAACAAGACATCTGTGCCTAGGCGCAGGCCCAGGAAGGGGGTGCGCACATCTTCACTGATACGTGCAGCTTACTCCCGAGCACCCCAAATCCCATCAGCAGACACAGATCTGTGATGGACTCTCCATGCTCTCCAAGCAGAGGAGCTGAAAGGCAGTGTGCAGGGGAGTCCCGGCCACCTGTCCCTGTGGTCACTGCTTGCTGCTGCACGGTCTGCTGCTCACTCACTCTGCCTGTGCTCTGGCTCCAGCCCATTTTCC